TCGGCGCCACTGCCAACTCTCACTCTGTCGCTACGCTAACGCCGTCTATGGCAGCCCTATAATTCTGGGCCCACGGACCAAGACATCATCTTTTGTGCAATCTGTAATGGACGGACACCCGTGACTGAGATTCGAGACTGGCATATTGTAGATTTGTGAGTCAAATTTTGAATCTAGAGTATAGTCTCAAATATACATTCATCTTGAGCTTCTAGGGGTTTATAAGATTTACTCAAATTATTTTAACATTGTAATATGACTTTTGTCTTAGGCAACCTAGAGAATGCACTTACCGTGTATGTAACCCATTAACGTATTTTCATTACGTTACTCAGATAGGGCAGCCACACATTGTCAGGTTGTCACACGGTATTGTATTGTATGGGCATTGCCTTTAGCGAATGCCTTGGGGTCTTATTATGGAGAGATTTGTTGATCTTTGAGTGAGATGTAAAATAATTTTTTTAAATCCTCCATAAAATTTCCTCTTCGCCTATCTCCATTCAAGTGTTTCCAACTTAGTTAAGTCTAGTATACAAAGAATGTAACATCCATAGGAAATTCCGATACCTCGTTATCAAAATTCACACTTAATTTCTCACCTCATGATATCTAGACAAAATTTTGAGATCCTATACGACATGCAGATTCCATTTCTAAGAACTTTCACATCTCTCAGTTGCTTTCAAATCTCACAAAAATATTTCACGTTGTCCAGATTTCATTTTAACATGTGTTTTTACCATAATTACAAATCAAAACATATCATACAATCATTATAAAAATTTTTCATATTCTATGCAACCTTAAAAATTTTATATATTCTACATTGATTTATCACTTCACATACAAGTTTCATCTAGTAGACTAAAAATATCAATATGAACACAAGAATAAATGCAAAATCTCCAAATTCTTTAAATAATACATAGTTTCTAAAAATATTTCTAACATTCATTAAGATTTTGATCCCAACTTCCAATTTTAAGTTAAAGCAAAAACTTCTTTATTTGTTTGAATTTAATGAAAATTTTGTGTTTTCTTCTTCTTTTTCTTAATATTATTCTCAAAAAGAGAATTTCAAAATCAGCTTGAATTTTTAAGCATTGGATTGATTAGATAGATTGATAGTATTTGATTATTATTTTTTTGAATTTAAATTTTTGAGATTGGTATATAAATTTTTAATTAGTAAGGAATTATTTCAATGTTGTAATGCTATTTTTTTATTCCAAATTTTGAAATCTAAATAAATAGATAGATACACTTTATGATATTTTTAAATTTTTAAAAGAATTATTAAATAATTTAAATTCAAATAATAAAGAAATAATTATTCATAAAATTTAAAAAAAATCAATTTATATGGTTTAGTAGTTTAATTTTATTTCTAAATTGGTTGATCAAGAAATAAAATTAAAATGAAAAAAAAATATTCAAAATGTAAACTTGTTAGCATTATTCAATTGTACTAATTGCCATGTTGAAAATGTGTTTTTTTAAGCTCTCTACAAACATTCAGAAGTTATTAGAGCATGTATTTGTAAATATAACATAATTTTTGAAAATTATTTTACTGCTTCAAACCGTTTTACGAAATATTAAGCAGATTTTTTATGCTATTATCCAAGTTAAGAATTTGAGTCTTAGCATACGATTTGATATTCAGATATTATTTATCTGTCTTTATGATATAATATAGATTTATTGACCATAGCAAGATTACTTGTTCAAAAAGGATAAAAAAATATTATTAGATTGAGATTATTATTAATTTAGTAAAAATGATAAGAGCAATCAAGATCAAAATATACGGTGTGTTGAAGTCCATCACAATATGTTGACACTATGAATACATTCATACGTTGCAACAAATGACTGGTATGTTATAAAAGTGTAGCAACAAGACATAAGTCTTTAATGGTAAGAACATTGGCTAGAGATTACGCACTTGCTGGAGATCACGTGATCATGTAGATATCACACTTTTGAAAGCAGTATTGCTAAGAAGTGAAGATGTAGTTTTTATAGCTAACTACACCTACACTTCTTAGCAATACTGCTTTCACAATTGTGATAGATAGCAATCAATTGTTGAATCCAAAATTTGTATTAATTAAAGAGTATAGAATTTTATCCAGGACTAAATATCAATGTTCATAAATATAGTGTAAGGGATGGTAGCAGGTTATGACTACACCATGAAACTTGCAATACATCCATAATGTGTGCTTTGAACTTGAACTCATAACTAAAAATCAAAACTTCAAGATGGCTATCGTTGATGACCACTACTTAAACCCCACAATAAACTTGTAGCTACTCGTGATAGAAGTCTGTAACGGACTCATATTCTTTTGAAAGAACTAGTATAATTCTGAGTTGATTAAAAATTAATTTTATAACTAATTTTTTTATTATCTCACAAGATTTAATCGGCATCATGATTTAGTCTAATTTCATAATATATGTTAAAGATATTGTATCAATGCTTAACATATAGCGCTAGTTGCTGTGATTCACAAGTATTACTTAATGTGATTCTTGGAAGAGAATCACATTAAATAATACTTGTTGGATTTGGGTGTAGGTTGTGGACAGAAGAGATTAATTTCTTAGGCCGTTTTAGGTGGAACACGAGATAGTTGCAATGGTGATGCGGGGGGCCTAACTCCATCTTACTTTTTTTTTGCCATGAATGGAATGCATTTTGGGGTTTGGGGGTCTTCGCAGTTAGCGTATAACGCGTTATTGACGAAAGCGAAATATCCGTCGGAATACCTGAATTAGGGACTCGGAGTCTCTGACGCGATGAACTTGGTAAATCACGAACCGCGGTCCCGTCATCTGCTACTCGGATGATTAGCCGGCAGTGACGTAACGAGACACGAAGGCAAGTGCATGTGCATGCGGGAGGGATTACCGGCTGATAATGCAGTTACGGCCCTTAATTAATGGGCCGATCGGTGCCCATCAAACTAAACTCCAACAACAAGAAGCGACGAGATGTTGTGAACTGGTGATGATTCGAGCTGATTCAAAGGGGGCTCGATTGACTTAATGCCAGCCTTGGTAACTCCACTACGTCATTATTATCATCCCTCGCTCACTCGAGTCTTTTGAGTAACTGGCGCATGAGCTCACACTCTCCTTGTGATCACATGCGACCGGGGCGTGGGCAGAAGTCCAACTTTTCCCCGCCCCAGGCCAGCAGCAACCGGTCGCCCGTCGCCCGGTCATTCAGCCAAAGCCAATTCGGTCTGCGGAGAATACGTCACCCGCGGTTTTCCCGGTCGTCCCGGTCGTCCCAGCTCCCAGTTCTTTACTACTAGTCTGGCTCCGGCATCTGATCCGCAGGAAGGAGCGCAGGCCGTCTTTCGTCTGGACTTTCATGCACAGATGTCTAAATTCCCGCGAGACTCAGTCCACGGAATGAGTCAAAAGTTCACATTGAGCACTTCCCTCTGTTCTTACTTTGCGATTTTTGACTTGGTTCGGAACGAGCGGAGCTGGAAATCCATGGACCGAACTTTCCGCGGTTTGTAAGGACGTGGGGCCCTATTTCTGTCCGTGGTGCAGGTTCTGCTGCATCCTGCACTGCTATACTTCTTTCGAAGCACAACGCTGTCTCCAACAAAGCAGGCCCAACGGAGAGACTGCAGCAACAGGATGCTCATCTTTTTCTGAAATCACTAAACTGACTGGCTCGTGGTAACTTGGTGCCGTTTTTTCTCACTGAATCCCTTCAGTCGACGAAAGTTCTCGGAGATGCTGGTTATGGTCAAGTACTTTCGCTAATGGTCAATATTTCGACCCACCGACCTTCGCGAGAGTATATTTTTAACGGTCTCAGTCCGACGTATGGAAGCGAGAGGAATCATGTGAAAGCACTCGGCACCGTGTCTAACTTTCGACGGCAGCGTTTGTTGTAAGCTACAAAGCGAAGTAGTATCTTCGTTGAAAATCCAGGCTTGTCATAAAACCAAGTGATCTCCAGTAGACTTTATCTACACGGCTGAGGAAAGAGTCAGAAAAGTGCTGGGGATGAGCTCGGAAATTTTGGTCGAGGCAGACTTCGTAGGCTCTGATACCCATGGCATCCCGGGAACAGCTCATCTGTAGTCTTCCTCCCGATGCCCTGAATAGACTCTATCTAGCCTCCTGGCTCACTTGTGCCTCCAGGTGTAATGAGAAGCCATAGACTCATTGACGATAGTGTTATTAGCCCTCCATGAACTGAGAATCTGGCGAGCATCCAACGTTGCCCTCATGAAGAATGATAACCAATCACGAATCACGGATCAGCGATGGGAATCTTAAATAGCCGACAGTGCTCGCCTACACTGACTCACTGTCAGTGTCGGAGCGTTCCTTAGGATAGAGATTACTGTATCTGTACTATTCGGTACTAGGAAGAGTGAGATGACTACAGAAGGTCCCATCCGTGCTGACCATACCTCGGCCGAATTGTAGGGGCCACAGTTTTAACTTTCAATGTTTGGACAGAGGACCTTTCTGAGAGGCATAAGCGACATGAAAGGCGCAGGGTCGCGGCCTAACAGGAGCGCGTCATGCCCGAAACTTACTTGGGTTTTGCAACCTACCTTCACGAAAACATTTAGAACAAATAACAGGTAGACGGACGACCAGATCAGCAGATCCAGAGTTTCAATGCACTGGATAAGTAAGGACAAGTAATATCAAGCCTCCACGTCCTGAATTACTAAACTGTGCGGCCATGGTTCCTAAGCCCGTCATAGATTGCACCAGATTTGATGGATTTGATTTGATTGATCAGATTGCAAGATTTGATAGCTGTTTGTCACTAGCCTACTTGCCGATCAAGACATACAAATCACACAGTGGAGTAACAAGCTTTGTCTTGAGTCGTATCACGGTAGATCAGCTCCATCCAGTAGTAGCAAAATGGTACATATTCTCGGTCTACAACAAAGCTTCACAATCCAACAAAGTCTTGAATTCTTTACTCCACTCTGTAGTTTGAATCTTTGTAACAACGCGCATCTCAGACATACTTGACTCTAAAAACTAGATCCCGGTTTCTTTACATAGTGAAATTAAGTGACTTCAAAATTTCAAAGAACGAATCTTGACTTCTCATGGACAGTGTTGACAAAGTCCATACATCCCCAAATTCCAATAGAACCAACGTAGAAATCGACCATCTTAAACTCTTAATACAGAAGTAGATTTTCCGACATTCATGTCTTACCTCTTCGGCACTTCTACGCTACTTTCCTCATCATCATCCGATGTCTCATATGCCAAACCTAGAAGACCGCTCCCATTCACTGTTTCTGTTGCCAAGGGTTCAAGAGAACCGTCTGTGTTGGTTGAGTCAAATCCTCTCAACCTAGACTTTACTATAGGACTCGATGAGCTTGGTCTTACTTCGATATTTTGAGCAGCTCCTTCCGAAAGTCCCGAGATGCGATGCCGCTTTGGTTTCACCTCAACTATACTCTTCAGCAAATCATGTTGACTGCATGCATCCAGCTCACAGTGACTCAGTAGCAAGCAGTGGCATGGAGACGTCCGCAAATTTTAAGGATTCTCTTTACTTGGACAAAATGCAAAATGAACACTGCATCTGGAATGTACAACGAACGAAACTCCTACCGTATTCCGCTCCTCGGTCTTGGCTCCACTCTGATAGGTGGTATAGCAGGTAGTGGAGATGCATCTGCAAGGCTCGCCGCCTTGTATGATTGGAAGTTAAGAAAGTGGTTGGCAGGAAGTTTGGGAACAAAAAGAGACAAAAAACTGCCCACAAATATGTTATTCTTAGATCAGAAACGTAATCTCTAAAGCCAGTCTTAAAGAGGATATTTTGAAAGCAGCAAAAGCACGCTTCTCTGTCCTGCGTCGCAAGCGCTCGGCATCCTCTTCAGCCTCCATTTGCTCCTTCAGATACAGCAAGTCATCACTGTCGAGTGCTGCATTTTCCCGCCAGAAACCAAAATCTCCGTCAGCTGTGGTCACGAAGAATGAGCGAGCTACAACATCCGTATAAGCGATGATGGGACTTTGAAACAAAGCGTCAAAAGGCCAAACATTGGTGCTCAAGCTATTTGCGACCTCCGCATATCCAAATTAGGATGGAGGGATGGGGGTGGAATGGGTGCGTTGGGGGTCAATTCAATAGGTGATTAACCGGGCAAGCCAAGCTGAGTAAATGTCAGTTCTTATGATAGGCACAATGGAAACACAGATTCTACGGCACAGAGAAGACCCCCAAGTTGTTGGAATTAAGTACCTGTAGTTTTAATTTCAAAACAAGACATCCAAGCTGCTAGATCTAAAGTTGGCTTGAATGTATTTGACCACTATTCATCAATCTTACCAATGAGCCAATTCGACAATACCAACGAACCGACCATATTATCAGCCCAATTCACACACTAAAGATAACAAAAGATTCGGAGTGCTCCCGCCGTGCAAGAACAACTTTGGAATTCGAGCACTTTGGATGGTAGAGATATTCACAGGCAAAGTGCAGTAATGTCGATTAATACTGACTGACTAAGGCGAGGATGAAGAGTTTAAGCAACCCTCTAGGCAAACGTGGAACTTTTGCTGACGGGTCGTATCGCGCAATTACCAAGTCGTACAACTAGCTTTGATTTAAGATGAGCATTGTCTCACAAGCTTTACGAATTGGGGTAGTCTTACTTTCCTGATACTATACAGGGATACAATCCTATACCTCACCTGCAGACACCAACACTCTTCCTCGCTGTCTTTGCACATGAGCATGGAAAACAGCCCTAAAAGCCTTCACCAGAAATCCACTTCGCTAATCATTGCAATTGATTATATTGTACGTGCATACACCTAGAATGTATACAAGTTAGACACTTTGATGAAGAAATAGAAGTTATTGGATATGGTACCGCCTCGTCCATGAAGATAACCCCCACGTTCACCGGCTACCTCCTGCATCTGCTTTCAAATTCATATCCGAGGTGCCGCGCCAGATTCCCTGTCAGGGCAAGTTCTCAGACAACATACAGGAGCCTCAAGGCCCGCCACATGGTATCCACAACTTTTGACAAACACCAGGTGACCTTTAGCTATCAACGGACAAACATAAGCCAGGTATTTTGCAAATGGACACCCGCGACCTTAATAATAATCTTAGATTGAATAATCTAACCGCTTAACCACTTAGTTCAACAGGCCCGGTTCACTAACCTTTGCCACCATTCGTTTGAAAGCGAGGTCCTCATCGTCAGTTTTATCCTTGCCACCTTTGCCACCCCATTTCTTATCTGCACAACCAAGGCACCCATTCAATTCTGAAAACTTTTACCAATAAGTATGCCAGCTCAAGGAGTGGCCTGGAGAGCAACAATTCGTGCGAGATCATATACAATCCGATCTCGTTTATAAAAATCATCAGCCTAGATTGAATACTTTATAAAAGGCACAACAAATATTAAAATCTGTGAAGAAAATGTGATGGCTCAATGACGCTTACAATATCAGCAACAGATGCACAACCCTGACTTCGAACAGGCTAGACAGATGTTTGTATAGCTGAAGGACAACGTGAGAAGGTTTGGCAGACGCTTCTACCATAAAATTTATGAAAAAAGATACGCCTGCTTTCAGGTGAAAATGAAATCCTGGACCTGGAAGACTACGAGGGACACAAATGGAAGTATAATTGTACCTCATATAATTCTCGGAAGTGAGGTGTTTGCTAGTTTTAACCAATCTGGTCTTAGCTAGGACATTAACTCTCAGACAAACCCCAACAGAAAAACTGAAGAAAGATGTGCAGCAGCAGTGGGCATTAAATCTCAAAAATCGTAAGCAAAAGACAGGAGTACTGCTGATGAACTGCAGATCTTTGTTTCATATGCGATTTTGTCTACCTCAATTCTAGTCAGTACTCCATATTATGAGACATCCTCTTCTCGAAGAAAGGATTCTCTTCAAATCAATCAAACCTCTCACATAACATTTGTAACACCATTGCACCACCAATCTTCGTCAATTCAGTGACATCCCGAAAAAATCTCATGTCAGGATGGCAGAAACTCAAGTCCTACTGTTCAGATGTGACATCAGGTGTTATACCCTGACTAAGATGCAGCTCGTCCCATATTTTTTGATGCCCATATCTCTTGCAGAAGATTGTGTTTAGTCTGAGAGACGTAAAACCCTGAGCTCCCCAGCATTAATCCATTACAATTATTGCGCAACAAGACTTGCTTTCAAATGGATTCTTGAAGTATCTAGATATTGATGGTGATTGACATTGCCCAGTGAGAGTGACGTTCGCTCTCGTCTTGCATACGACATACATTCCATGTCTGCAGGTAAACGCCATCACTTGAAACTACATTTCCGATTGAGACATGAACTGCTCCAAGAAAGAAATCTCACCTTTTGGATCACTTAGATTTGTGTACTCCCGGACTTCTCGACCAGCCATGACTTCGCTCAAGACCGGAAGACCGACCGACTGACCAAGCAAACAAAATCACAAGACCAGCACTCGAGATGGGGTCTTAAAATCTCAAAGCGCAAGCCCCGGATCGAGCCAGATCAATGGCAGGCCGAGAAATCCAGCAATTCAGCGTCGAGTCCTCGATCACCATCTCCACAACACTCCTCTTGTCACCAAAACCTTTCACTTCTAGGGTTTTCCACGAGACAAAATTGGCTTAGAAAAATGCGCAATTCTCAGGCACACCAGATTTGTAGTCTTGCAATGTTCACTATGGGCATCACCATCACACCGTTCACGCCTGCACTTCGCTCCCCCACCACTACAGTATTGTATAATTCTCGAGTACTCATTTCATTTCATGTCCTCACAGTTCCTCCATCACTCGACGCTCGTGCTCGCTTCACAAAACCTTCTCCGTCATTCTCATCCTTCCTTTCTTGCTGTGTATACATCCATCCTTCTTCACTTGTTCGTTCGGTCAAATCTCGCCTCGCCTCCTCCGGGCTTCTGCTCTAGTGCTGTTTCCCTGTTTCTTCTCCCTTGTGTGCTTGCTTCAGCTCGAATTCATGGTCTTTTCCCTTCGCAACACAACAAAAATTCATCCCGTTCCCTCCTCCAATACAACTGGAACGAACTTATGGTACGGTACAAAGCAGATCTTTCTCCACCGCCTGAATCTCTTTCGTCGTTCTCTGTCTATTTACTGCAGAAAGGAAAGTGGACGGAGGATGCTTATTGAGAAAAGCGCTTATTCTTCTAAATGGCCCTCCCCTCGTCTTGTCTTCCGGGCTTTTCAGGGCTTTTCGAAAGTGCCATGTACCTCCACGCTTCGACCAGAAATGGAGTCCCCCAAGAATGTTAATCTTTGTCTAGTCTGAACCCTCCACAAACAAAATTTCCATCGTCCAGGAGCCCGTCAATCTCAATAGGTCATGTTTTGTATGAAAGGAAGGATGTGAACGCTTGTGAACATACCGTCAAATCCAAGGGGAAATCTGACAACAATTTAGTCAGTTTGAAAGAAAATGACCTGAATTAACCTCACTTTTAAGTCTACAAAACAAGGCTTGATATTAGGTGCAGTTCACTTGTGAGATACTTGTATGGCCTGATATTAGAAAGACTATCTAGAAACACATGAAACAATGAGTGAAAAGTGAGACTTCAGTTCATTAGAAGTATCAAAGTAAACAACAGCTTTCTCCTCCGGGTTCCTCGTTTTATTCACGAAGTGTGTATATAATGTTTATTGATAACTCAAACAAGACAAGCAATGAGAGAGCCATTTGACTAGAGGCCTTTTTGACCAGCGTCATCTTGGGGGTGCATACGAACTTCAAATAAAGGTCGTATGCATGTAAAAGATAGTAGACATCGTCTAATTGAGAAAGTGATACGCATGCGAGAAGTCTTGGGATAATTCATCATACAAATAGCATGTAAGCAGATCTTAAAACACATCCAAAGTTCTAAGATCGTCAATAACGATCCATCAACCATGACTTTCAATGTGAACACTAACCGCAATCAAAATTTTATTCTATGTGACTATGTGATGTGAAGCTCGATTCAAAGCTAGTGAGAACTTACCAAAAGTGGAGAAAAGTCCTCTCGTTTGAATAAAAGCCCATAATCGGATGCGATTATTTTTAAGAATGTTCACAACTTACGCTTTGACACCTTGATATGAAACTTGATTTAGACCAATGGAGATGTGCTCAAATGTGTATAGAGTTGTTTCGTATGATTCACAATATGTGTTCTTATTATCTGCTGATTTCAGAGAATACTTAAAGTATCACTTAACATCTAATATACTTCTCAATGTATCTTCTTATTGTGTTCAATCAATTCAGTCTTTCACCAAAATTGTAGCAAAAGTTGGTAAAACTTTAATATAATATTTTGTTACAATTATAATTTTAAAATTACAATATGGTTTTACCAACGTGTTAGAGACATACCACTTTCATTTGAATGTGATAGAAAGACCCTTTGAGTTTGCTAAGAGGTGCGCTGTTCCATCCCATTTTGGTCATGTTAGTTTCCCGCTCTAAGGGCTTCTTTCAAGGAGCATGATATTTGCCCAAAGTAGACTATTCTGGAGTTTCTTTTAAACCTGGAACCCCATTCAACGCAATGCGAACTATGAAGCAACAAAAGAAACATGTTTCCAACAGTGAACATGTTTTCGAGGTGCATGTTGAAAAAAATTGTTGAAAGTAGTCGCGGTATTTACTTCATAGTTGCAACTGTAGGAGCTTTTTACGGCTTGAGCATAGTATATTTACTGAGAAAAAATTCTTCCATAATTTCAAATGCCAGAAAACATTTGGTTAGAAAAACAGACAGAAGTTTTTATATTATTTTCAACTGCATAGCTCATTCTCTGGCTAAATTGAAAAGTACAATATCTGATCAGGTTGATGTTCACCATGAATAAAATTTTTGAAGCATCTTTTGCGAATGTCTTTCTAGTTAAACGTTCTTTTGACGCATAAAGAAACTGAAAACAAAATATCTAGCATACATAAAAAGAAATTGGCTGCATAGGGCTTGGATGAATGTTTATTTTAATGTCATTAATAATTCAATATACGAGCGATGGTAGACGGTTACTGATGATAATTAAATCTCTAAAAATATATTTTATTCAAAATATTCAAAAATTGAGGAATATTGTGTTGCACATCAAACTGTTGTATTTCAAATCCTTGCATTTAGACTTGATAGATTCAATCTATTTACCTTTGAGATAAAATATTAAGGTGTAGTCTCAACAAGATTTAAAAGTTCAACACTAAGCATAAACAATAACATCTGGTCACTCATGATATTCCGTTCATAATTTCAAATTAGGTTAAATCACTAACAAAAGATTCATGTGTGATGTTTAAGTTTGATGGAATACTTCAATATCTATTCTTTTATCTTGAAGATAGATCTTAGGATTTGATATGATTTATCTACTAAGTTATTCAAACTTAGTAGTTTCATTTAGCCACAATTATTTGAATTGTCATTGAGCTCTTGTTTATAACCTTTTGATGATTATTTTCTTGTGCTAAAACTTCTTCTCATCATTCTGTCTCAATTTAGAAACTGATCTACAAGTTTAAGAACAGAACTCAAGTTTTTCATATTATATTCTACACTACCTACTCCTCATATTGCATCAAGATTGTGAATTTATAAGTTCAGTTCATGTGATATACTATCTACATTAATCAATCATATAATCTCCATTTTCTGAAGAAGAGACATTGTAATTCAACTATTGTCCAGTAAACTGTAATCAATTTACTAGTATGAGAAAATATTTTCATTGATTTATAATTGGAGATCTTTCAATCGGAAACCATTAAGGAATCATCTTTAACAAAAAATAAACAAATTCTACGTAAAACAACTTACATCTTATCAATACATATTATGGATAATGAAGATACATCAGTCCGATATCTAATCAAGTACGTTCAAACTTGAAATATTCTTTGACGTCAAATTTTTTTGACAAAAGATATTAAATAACTCTTAATTTATTTTTGAAAATATTTTTAAATTTTATATGGAACGATTATTTTTTTTAAAGAGTTGTATTATAATCCTTTGTAATCTGATAATAATATTAGATGTTGAAAAACCATAAATGAGAAATTACTCAAAAATCCTCACACTACAACATGTAGGTAATTCAAGTTAGTAAAATTTCTGTTAATAATGAACTAAAAATATCAATAATTGTCAATTGCATAGTTGATATTGTATGTTTATACTCAAATTTATACATTTTGAAGAGATTATTATCATAAAAGCACGACAGTCAGCTTTTGACGTTTTTATTATAGAATTGATTGATTTTGTGACGATCAAACTCAATGTATTGTGTTACTTAGAGATTGATATGCATACTTCATGTCGTTTAGATTTTTTCATGAATAATACTTTCATAATTCAGTTCCTTTTATATTGGACACATGTTTGGAAAAAAATAGAGATATATGCTCATTTTTAAGATTAAAATTTTGAAATATTTCTCATCTTTTTTTTATGGTAGTTTATTGATCATATGAAAATATTAATCTCAAAATGAACATTTCATAGATAAAATACTGTTATTAAATCTATGAAATATTTTTATTAAAATCATCTTTTTTTTATATATAAAATGCACTATAAAAATGCATTAGATATATATTTGAGTAAACGTATCTTTTGTTACCAATTAATACAGTTAAATTGGCAAGTTTTAGCACTTCAATCCATTCTTCATTAAGTTATTTGTAAGACTCTGTAACATGTAGTACTTTATGTTTTTTTTGCAAAGTATAACATCCTCTTAAAATCATGTTACTATATTTTATTTGACCTGAATTTGAATAAATCATCTGAGAGTTTGTTGATGCAATTTTTCTGGCTTGCAGCGAGTTGCCAAGACTGTTCTTAGAACTTCTTATATGCTGAAGTATAGTTATAAAATTGTGACGTATTTCATAATTTTTACACATTTATTAATTTTGGTTGAATTTTGTTTAAGAAGTAAAAAAATGAATGATATATGACTTTTCACTCATCAGCAATTTCATTGAAAGCTAAGTTTGAAAGCTGCAAGAAGACTAGTAAAATTACAAAGTTTATTACTTATTGCGATCATCTTACATGTTTGTGTTCAAGTGGTTTCTGAACTTTGCACAAAACAAACTATTCTTGGAATCATTACTTAACCAGACTTGAACTTCATTGCATTCCCATTTTAAGAGAATCAAGCAAGCACGGTAAGCAATCAAATGAATGAATCTTACTCAATCATGACACTCTCACAGTTCGATCAAATATCTTTGAACATTCATGATAAAATTTCATGTAATCACGTCTATACAATTCTTAATTTCAATAATCTTAGTTTCTCTAACTGACAGAACTCTGTATGTGAAATGAGTGTATAAAAGTTGACACCATTTGGTTGAAGTTTCAGGTAATCCAATCTGTCAAATCAAATGAGATATTCTATCTGTTGGGATGACCATCTTTCTTCACAGAAAAAAAATATGAATTTCGCCAATAATACCAATTTTGACATTACAGGAGGTTTAAGATGATTGTGTAATCAATCTTATTCCTGAGAGTACACAGTTCCCGGAGGTTTCCGTTTCCGTCTGAGGGATTAGTGAGATGAATGTATATACAAAATTAAGGCTGGAAACAGTAGGACCCAAGCAGATCCTACCACGACTAGGATGTTCGTCTAGCCGAAATAGAAGAAGATTTATTTCGGCTGGATTTGGACAGTTCTCAACAGTTCTGAGACACGTCGAAGGTTCAAAGCAGACGTGGTACTGGCTTTAGAACTGAGATCGTTTTCGCATGCCCTGCGAAACATTCTCAACCTCTCGCTGACAACAAATTTCAGGCGTGTCTGAAACTCGTGTGAAGGAAAATCGATGCTTTTTTCTAGTAAATTCAATCCCTCCGGCGAAGTGGACTCGCTGCTCAAAAGCATCGAACCCCATTCGAAGCACGCGTAAGGCACTACGTTCCTGGAAAACAAGAAATCAGAATCACGGGATATAAGTCACGTACTGAGCCGGCAATATCAGTTGGTCCCATAATCAGCAAGAGGGATGCAGACAAGCATGCTGGAACTGACTACCACCGTGTTTAAAAATAGACTAACAGGAAAAATGCCAGGAGAGCGTCTGATGTTTTCACAGAAACTGGTCCCATGATTACCCCGGAACAACATCGGTCTGACTGACGACGTAGCGGAAGTTGGCTTCTGCTTGTTTAAGGTCTCCGAGACTCCGTTGACAAAGAGCCAGTAAGTACCTGCTTTCGGAAAATCCTGATGTAAGGTCCAAATACCTGCTGTATTGCTACTGAAAGATAGGAGCGATTCAACATCATAGGGTCAATGTTGCGATTGGCAGTTGCATAGATTAGATCCGGCACTTGAAAAATGATTCATTCTCACTCAACACTTAGTCGCACCTGCAAAGAACTTTACTTCCCTTGGCCCAAGTGTGGTGGAACTTGGAGCCACTGCTCGACGAATCGTCGTCGTCTTCTGATTTCGGAGACGAGGACTTGGACCTGCTTTGGAATGGTATATTACGCTGGCCCGCCACAGCCTCGCCTGGAACATCCTTCTTCATGACGTCGGCGTAGGAAGGAGGACCTCCACTTTGCTCACTACCTCCGGGCTGATGCGGCTCCTCCTTCTGCAGTTCGCACCTTCGCTCTTTAACATTCGCAGGCATGACGACATAGTCCCTACTGCAGTTTGTCGCGGCCACCCAGCTTGTTTAAATGTTTAAATTATAATTTAAAGTGAGTACTGTTGCTGGACTGAGACGAGTTTCTATTTATTTACTCTTTCGAACCATAGAATATCGTCCGTAGAAATAGATCGAGAAATAGGGTCAAGGACATAAACAGCGCCATTGGGAGACTGACGTATTAGGTTCGCACATCTAGTGGACATATAGATGCTTCAAACGGTCTCTCCGATGTCATGAAAATGACCTCGATTTTACTATTGGACTCTTCTCACCCCTATTTACCAGTTTGGCTACCTCCTAACCCAGGATGAGAAAGTGACTATTTGGATTCCTCCACGCTCGGCATCTGCTGTGACCCACTGTGAGGTCACAGCGAGGCATTATATAGTGCAATGCTATAGTTGGCGTCTCAATAGCTACGTTCTCCTAAGTTACTTACATTTGGCTGATATCAATCTAAGCTATACGCGGACCAACAGGGTAGATGGTTGAGAAGTGACATGCCATTGTTGATGCGAGCAGGCGGAAATATTACAATTTCTGAATAATTAAAGATATTTGATCGGGTGTAACTTTCCAGACCTGTAGAAGTCTTACGAATTTTTGATTTCACTATAGTTTTCAAGAACACACCCGAGAACCTGCTCCATGTGGCCTCACACGCGCGGAGGACTTTCGAGGGTTATAATTTCTCAAATATTAGTCGTAGGAGTCAGACCCACTAGCAAGTTGGAAGTCCTGTAAGCAAATCTTCGGGCTTCTGTATTTCGCAACAAGAAGTTGAGAAGGAACTCAAAGACTGAACCTCTGCCAGGTAGCCAGCCTTGTTATGGAGTGCACCAACTGGAAGCATAATAGTGACGATAATAGACTGTACTGCACTACAGATTTCAGGAATGGGATGGATTAGTGGGGCTTCCTTACAAACGAATCTCGGGCAGAAGCTACCGTGAAGCTGACAAGTTTGACGTAATCGTCGCCAAAATCTGTCACTGAATGACTCTGACTTCAGCTTGCAGACACTATCATTCTTGGTTGTACAGAACGTACCGAGAAAACGTTCTGGTAGTCGGACGCTCTCCTGGGGCTGCGAGTCATCAGAGCGTCACCGATGCGATCAAGATGACGTTTGAGAGTAGCTTTGTCCATATGCTGAAACCCATTGTAAACGGCGATGATCTCCATCGCTGGGAAGAGAGGTGCCTGTAAGGTCATGGACACAAGGATCCCATCCCAGACGTCACTGAGAAGGATGTGCAGTGCAGCAAACTCCCGATACCGTCAAACGAGTGTTTTCATCCCAATTTCAGTGCTCATCAAACCTCAAGTTGCGGATAGGATGGGTCGAAGTCCACCAGAACCCTAAACCATCGAAGATAATGATGTGGCTGCACACACATGTCGATAGATCGATCGATACCTGGCCATTAGTAATGAAATCGTTTGCCAGACGAAGAGCAAAATTCTCCATCGGAGTGGGATTGGTCTTCTTGCCCGAGATCATGCCCGGCAGGTCGCGCATCAACTTGGCCGCCTCGTTGTGAAACTTGTCGTCGGCCTCCCAGCAGCACGCGGCCATCAAGCAAGCGTAAAGAGGCTTCAGCCAGACGGTATCCTGCAGGCGTCGGAGTCCACGTCACACCTGAGAGCACTTGAAATTTGCTTTTTCAAAAGTTCAAATTTTCAAACAGGGGCCGCGTGAGGACCTTGTACAGGGAGCTGAAGTTCTCGTAGGCGCCGGTGAAGTCGCCCTGCAGGAGCAGGTACCAGCCGTGCTCGTCCAAGATCAAGTTGGCCAGGCGCTGCATGGGAATTCCCTCGCTGCCTTTGGACTTGACGGGATTCCTCAGGCACTTCACGATCATGGCAGTCGCCTCCTCCAACTGCGTTTCGTAGCTGGCGAGACGCGCCTGCATCACCCGAAACACGGAGCTTTCTTTCCAGGCTATGGGGAGCATCTGCAGAACGTTCCTGCCTCCCATCGCGTGCTCTTGAGTGTATGGTAGCAGTCCCATCAGCACCGTAAAATCTGTGTTCACATTCAATTCCAGGCATTGCCGACCGGTCAATGACGATCCAAAACCCTTAGTGCATCTATGCTCTTTCTTAGTGACTCGAGTGAGATTTATCGATTGACATGACATGACTCACGCTAATTCAGGCTTCAATCGGGTGCCGAAAGCTCACAGTTGAGCAGCACGATTGCCGCCAGAGGGGCTCGACTGTGGTGCAAGCCCGACACCTTCCGAAGAAGTGAAAGCCCCTGGTTTCTGTCTCCAGGAACCGCCATCAACTCGATGGCCTTCTGATAATTTGTGGGTATGAGCGATATCATCAGATTGAACGCCCCGATCCCGAATTGAATGCCGATTCTCAGCGACGCTAACTCTTGGTCCTCTTTGATTCCTCCCTCTAATCTCTCCAGGTTGCCAGCAGCGGCTCTGACTCCTTGATAGATCATTTCGCCTTCTGGCGCTGACAGTTCGGGGTCGTAGTTCTGAGACCTCCTCGAAGAACGTGATGGACCCGCTGCAGCCAACGCCATAGCCCTGGCTGCATTGGCCTGCGCGCATCGACAACAGTTGTCGGGCGTTGAAAAATGCTCAAGAGAGCTGCTCGAGTCTCAAGTCTGATCGATTTTCGTTGACGACAACGTTACTGCCTATTCAGGAAAACGATTCCGTACTAGACTTATGAAACAGCTCAGTAGATGCCAAAGAAATCAATCAATCATTTCAGGATACTGCAGTTCAAGTGTTCATTTTAGATGCATCCGAATTCCGCATAGCGTAGACTATGAATTGAGTTCGCACCGGGTCGAAATTGAGTTCAGGTCCGTTCGGGTCCTCGTCGCTATCAGAGTCCGCTTGGACACCAGGTGCCATGGGACCAGTTCCTGTCAGTGTACCACCCAAGCTCACCCACTCCTTCTGCAACTGATCCAGTTTCTTTTGACAGTGCTGATAAATGCTCCAGCATCGCTTCGCGTTAAACCCCACTTTAACCATAGATGTCCAGCTTTCTCCCGCCGCCACGACCTGAGCCACGTTCGTATTTGGGTTTGCTTCAGAAGAAGTACAGTACAGAAAGTACAGGAATGTGATGAAAATGACTGATGGACGGCAGGCAGATCCAATTCCTGAACTAATTCTAAACCACTGTGACATCTCGATCTCTGAATTTCTGTTTGAGTGGTAATCTAGATTTTTAAAAGTTCCTCTGTTGCATAGTTTTCTAGCTTGCAGTTGCTGTCCGAAGTGGTTTCAACGCTTACAGAAGTCCTGAGACCAACATATCGTCAGGAAAGTACATGAAGTAGGTTTCAATATCTCGACTACTTCATCGGCTTAGCTTAACAAATTAGGAGTACAAATGATGACATAGTAGTTAATGGGAAAAATAAACCAAATATTGGAAAGGACAATAACAATCAACACACAAATTTGGAATATACCAACGTGAAAATGAACCGAGTAATAGGATAACAAGTGGCAACCTGACATCCTTTTCCTCAGTTCCTAACCCATTACATACTTGATGAAATCATTGAACCTCATCTATTTCACCCCAAAGTCATGCTTGAGGCCTGATTTCAATGTTGAAGCTTATAATAAGCTCACGACTTTGGCATACAAAATTTTCCGCGGCATGATCAAAACTGTGAGGTCAAACCTCAATAATTTGACTATCAGTTCTAAGATCAAAACGGTGACCCTTGGATAAAAGTGAACATATTTGAAGAAAACTTAGAGCAATCCAACAAATTATCAGCGTTCAGCCCCAGATACCGAAACAATCAATCCAGAGAAAGAATTGAAGCAATCCGGTGGAAGGCATGATGTCATCGGCGTAGAACCCTAACTTAAGGCATATAAGGAACATTCATCTTAAGCTATATATTCTTTCGATGCCCTGTTACTTGCAGTAGATTTCATATATATATCTAGAATATTTTAACTGTTTTAACGCATATTTCCATCTTTTATGTTGCATGTTTTCTTATTATGGCCGGGATGGGGTACGGCCATACTTTTTGCTATATTACTTGGCCCCTCCATTTTTCTCATCACCAAGAACAAACCACCATCTAATAAGGTCGACCCGGCTTAATGTAGCTGCTAGAGAAATTCTGACAACGAAATCGACGGCAAGGAGTGCTGGCGAATGCTCTTTATTGTGACTTACAAGTCAAGGACGTAACGTAGTGTAGTACTGTACTGGAGAAAAAACTGCACGCAAGTCGGAGCATGGGAGCTCGAGGTGCGGGCCGAAAGATGGACCAAAGTTTGACAAATGAATTGCTTGCTCAGTCAATTTAATGTGATTGGGTTGCAAGGGTAGAACCTGCAAAAGGGAAGTCATAAGGTGACACTCGCCTTGAATTAACAGCGCCCAAAGGCGCATTCGACGTGCACGGTGGTTATACGTCGCTTCTTCTCGATTGGATGGTTTACTGCTACTGCCCTCGTCGTCGTCATCGTCGGCTGGAAGACTGGGACTTTCGACGGGCATCAGCTTGGCTGATGCTTGAGCGCCCACTGGCCCGGCCCTTTTTAAAGCCGTGGCCGCTCTGGTCAAAGCCCACGTCTTCATGGCGCCCACTGCCTCGTTCACCTTCTTCAAATTGCTGTGCGTTCGCCATCTACAGGCACATCGGATCTACAAAATGTTCACCTCTAGATTTGTCCATCGATCGATCCAAGCATGACAATTGACTACAAGCATAACCTTCTGCCGTTCAGATTTCAAAATTGGTCTGAGTTTTGGGGAAGACTTCTAATTGGATTTCGTAGATTAATTTAGTGTGGGTAGGTCAAGGCATACAGGCAAGCCTGCCTTACCTCTTGGCTTGCTGATCGGCTAACGACACAGTTTCTGTCAAAAGAGTAGTGGCGAATTCGATATCTTCTGGTTCAAAAGACATTAGGGCGATGAAAGATGCCACCTCAGCGTGGTGCAAGCTGAAGCGTGCATGGCCAGTTTTAAGTGTTTCAAAATATTCATCAGCCTCACTGAGCCTGTCCTGGTACAAAAGCTCCAATCCCTTCATAACCTGAACATCAAGCACGGCACAGTGCATGTGCAACATTGGTCATGCACTTCATCATTCTGTTGCAAGGCGAATTCCCTTTAACGCCTTTGACATCACCGTAAGTTCTAGCGGGTAGGATTGAGAACACAGCGGAGACTGTAGGAGACTAGGGCTGTAAAGTTTTGAGTCATGAAAGATTCGAAAGACCGTCACCTGCTCTTCTTCAACCTCAAAATCGACCCCAATCTCCGGAAGAGATTCATATGCCGGTTCTTCTGATGACTGGCCTGAATCTTTCGACTTCCGCCGTTCTAAAATACTGGACAGCCCTTGCTGCAACCCAGCAGAAAATTTCTCCATATTCATGGCCGCTGAGCTGAGCTTTTATGACGAATCGCCTGCTCGCATCTTTGCTTCAGCCTTCGCCTTCGTATAACATTGCAGATCACCAGACGAGCGTTCGAGCAGTCGAGGCCGCTCCCTTCGGGTCTTTTGAAGGACTCCACCGTTCAATTCAGCGAGGTCAGCCTTGAAAATCTTGATGAACTCATGTTTACAGAGTATAATTGCTGCCAATGTTGAAAGATGCGAGACTTGGAGAGGTACCGTAAAACAGGGGTCACTTAACAAAATGAAAAGGTGACGAGATGTCCTTTCGTGTCCTTGCAGACTTCATCGTCTGAATGTGACTGTTTTAGATCCAGACCTACCTTGACCTAACTATAAGCTTCTGTGTTACGGTCGTACTGCGCCTACTGTTCCTCATATATCTCCAGCTTAATCCGTCTGTCCGTTCGCAATTGCTCCTTCTCATAGCCCAACCTAAATTCTAGTCAGTCCACACGTACAATCCTGCCTAAATCGTGCAAGAAACCCCGAGCCTCAATATTGCCATTCGAGGAAAGAACGGTACCAGGAAACCAAATTAAAATTGGAGTTGGACTCCATTCGTCACTCCCTTCTGGGCGTGGACAATCAAGGTAGTTAATCCATGTCCAATGTCGCGCTGTTCCAAATTGCACCTATTGGTTGTACTGCACAATGCACAGACTAATGAGTCGCAAGACTAATGTGTAGAAACGGCAGAAACACTGGTCTAAAATCGATCAATTGAAATAAAAAAACGACTGATAGCTAACTACCCTCCCCACTCTTGGCCAGGCCAAGAACTACCTTCCGCACTCATCGCCAAAGTCTGTGGGGATTCAAGTTTTTTTTGTCCTTCAATGTTAAGTCTCAATATTGCGCGACAGCGAGAGAAGCCTAAGAAACCAGTTGGCTCCCGCCTCACATCCATCATTGTTGGCTCCGTCAGTTTAGCTCTGCAACCTGGCATCTATTGTCAAGTTCTCCTTGAGCTGGTTTGCTGGGGAGGATGATGCTGGACGTTTCTGTAGCATTGGGCTTCTCGCTCTAAAAAGTCCATCTTCTCCTTTCATTGCGAATAGGGTATGACGCATGCTCCTGTAGTGATAGGAAAGCAGACCAAAAAAGATCTCAAGCTCTCTCTGGTTGTATTCAAGGATAGATTCCTCGTTAGCAGCATCTGCGCTTACGATAACAAGACTGGCATTTGATTGCCAAGTTAGTGTGTTGCACGGTACATTCCATACACTTCTTTTCTCGAAATTCGTACAATAATCAATGTACTGTTCTATCCAGCATTGGAAAACTACGCCTTACATCACACAAAAATTTGCATATTTCAATTCCTGGGTGGAAATTTTCAGAACAATTTTTTATTTCTGAAAAACAACAACACTGAACACCGCAACTCTCGTGACGACAAATAGACAGAATTGCAATCGTCACGGATTAGTAAACGCTCAGTAAAAGCAAGCCTTGGCTGATTGAATGGAAATTGTCAATCCACATATCGTCTTCACTAAGATTCGGAATCGACTGAATCTGTCGCAAACCATCATGAGAAGGTTGCTGTTTGAACAAAGCTGAAGTTTTCACCATTAGATTCATATATGTGAGATGCCGAGGCTAGTTAATACAAAATTGTTCATCACAGAATTTCATAGATGAGATTGTCTTTTCATCTCCTTGCGTGACAAAATTCCAGTTCACGATCGTGAACCTAAAATAATCTACTATTTACAAATCTGTGTCAAAAGTGGACAACAGTTTGGATTTTACGTCTGTCTACTCACATATCTATCTATAAAATGCATGAGAAAAGATACAGTCGATTCAAGGTTTAGCTGATGTAAGGCGAGTCAGCTTCACCAGGTCAAGAAAGAGGTGAACATTTATTGATGGTAACAAGCACCAAGCTTTCCAAGTTATTCCTCAAGTTTGCTAATCTGCAAAAAGGACAACCGGACAAGCCGGATTCTACTTTCCGACGAACAGGTGCATAGACTGGAGCGACAATAAGATCGAGAGATAAAAAGCCGTGATAACATCGGGATTCTAAGCTGGTGGGTATTCGTATTGCTACTTCTCATTCATCCATGTGAAGTACACATCGCAGGCACTTTCCTCCGTGCATAAGCTCAAATCCTTCGTTGATTTTGCTGAACGGAAGGTTGTGTGTGATGTACTCGTCGACCTTAATTTCCTGCAGGAACAAGAAAAATTTAAGGATCGTAAGGATATACCTAAATCTTGGTGACACAAACAATCTTGGTAGCACAAACAATGCCTGCAAATATAACCGGCTAAAATCAAAACTTTTGGAAAGCGCCTATACATCCTTTCTACATTGTCTTTGAGTATCGCGTATGGGCTTAATTGAGACCTCCTCCCTGGGGGCAACAGAATCATTCAGCTGTTGTAATTTAGGTCTCTAAACGTAGAGAAATAAAAATCTCTGAGCTTACAGAGATCAATGATAAACCTACAGTCAGAGACGTAATCACACCTTTTTCATGTATTTCTCGACAAGGTCTGGAACTTGGGAGCGACTTTTAAACCCTCCAAAAGCTGTACCCTTCCAAACTCTGCCTGTGACAAGTTGAAACGGTCGGGTGGATATTTCCTTGCCAGCGGCTGCTACTCCAACGATGACAGAAACACCCCATCCCTGAAACAAACATAACAATAGCATGGCTTAGGTCATATTAGTTCCTCTCAACAATAATAAATCTGAGACATCGAACTTTAGAAAAATGGATAAGTACAAATACGGTACTTATCCAGAAATCAAAAAGCACATTCAAACAACAGATCTTCACTGCAGTTGAAAGGTGTTTGAGAATAAAATCATACCTTGTGACAACACTCAAGAGCAGCTCGCATGATATCGACGTTTCCAATGCATTCAAAGCTGTAGTCCACACCTCCATCTGTCATGTCAACGATCACCTGCACGATACAACTATCCCGCAATTAGGACACAATGGTCCATGTTATGGAACAAAAACTTACGTGATTGAGAACGATTTACAACACTTACCCATCCAGAATTCTGATCAAAATGTTCGAAAACATTTAACATATTTCACTCCAGCACGGTGTTGCTTAAGGGTTTTGATCAATGAATACTTCAAGAAAAATGATACTTGCCTGCTGAATTGGCTGTTGGTGATCCTTGGGGTTGATAAACTTTGTCACACCAAAATTCTTGGCTGTCTCGACAAATTAACACACGTCAGCATAAAGTACTGCTTGAGTTTTGCTTTGCAATGCATCAGCACGAAAAAGATTTTCTTCGTGGCGACAAACAAGCACACATATCGGGCGATTGGGCATAAACAAGCCAGAGCTAATCCAGATTCACGTCCATGTTTGACGTGTCAGCTAAAATTTGGTAAACTTGTGGAAAAAACTAACCAAGTTCAAACTTGCTGACGTCGATGTCTATCCCAATAATTTCACTGGCACCCGCTGCCTTTGCGCCTTCTGCAACCTGATTGATATACGTGACAGGTCACTCATACCGTGCAAGAATATCGAAGGTGCACGACGATTGAATGCTTTTACCCGGCATCAACATTAGAACCATCCACAGGCAAAGCATTAACTAAGGACGGCAGTGAAAAAGGAGCAATTGAACAACTGTAAACAAGCGGGCACTTACAGCAAGACCTACGGAACCGAGGCCGAACACTGCAACGGTAGAACCTGCCTCTACCTTGGCTGTGTTCCAAACAGCACCGAGCCCTGGAACAAGATTCAGCAAACAGAGAACGGGTTTCAATGCACAGGACGATTATTGTTAACTGTTCTGGCACTGATCCCCCAATATTTCGTTCAGACACTTTCTTCGTCACAACAAACCTGGCATCTAAAGTATCTAGCTCCCAGCCTGATTTGAATCTCGTGAGTAGTCTTCAAGAGTTTTATTTATCATCGCAATCCAGGACATCCAAGATGTGCCCATCAGAACTGTCGTGTCATAACGACGACCGATCAGATGCAGCAGTACAGGTGAGGAACAAGAAGCTAGAGGTGATGCAGAGAAGGACAAATCGAACAAAAAACCTACTTGAAAATGAAGAGGTACTCGCTTACAGAGGGACTTATCCCATCACTGAGGTTTGCTCGAAGTTTCTACGTGTCAACCAAGACGGGCTTCACTAGCTCATCCACTGTGAGGCCACATTGTATCATGCCTTGAAATGAAATGACTTTAGGTGACATAGGGCCTAAAGTATCTAGATTCCAAGTATGCTTTTGTTCCCAACCGCTGGGCGAGATTGACTCTCTCCTTCTGTCAAAGGTGCAATTGACCACATGATGGACAGATTATTCGTCCGGCACGCGACAAAATATTGCGAGTGGTGGGTTGGGTCCCCGTTCTGTTCTTCTTGTCGCTGACTCAATCTGCAACTAAAATCTTGACGTTGTGCCAAGGCACGGCACCCTCCAAATTAATGCTCGCTGAAAAAGGCTTCCGAGTGCAGCTTCGGCAGGGAGAGATCGAAGAACATTGAATAAGATTAAGGTCTGAGCGTAAATCACTTACCCGTTGGTATTCCACATCCCAGAAGACAAATCTTTTCCAGAGGAGCCTCGGGATTTACTTTGGCGACGGACACGGCGTGTACAACAGTGTACTCGCTGAAGGTAGACGTCCCCATGAAATGGTAAATTGGCTTTCCATTGATAGAAAACCGCGATTGTCTATCATTAAGCATAACTCCATTTCCAGTGGCGGGACGTACTTTTCCACACAAATTAGTCTTGTTTGACAGGCAAAATTTGCATTCGCGGCACTCGGCCTGATAGCAGGGAATAACTTTATCTCCAGGTTGAACCTCTGTCACGCCTTCTCCAACGCTCTCTACAATTCTGTTCATGAAGGACAGGAAATCATTAGGTAGAATCATTATCATCTGATGTTCCTTGTTCGATCATGATATTCATGATCTCAAACCAGAATCGAGAAAGACGTCATACTATCCGAATATTTCAAATCGGAGAGTACAAAAAATGATGTAACGTTCTCTTCTGCACAAAACTGACGAGTAGATTACACATACTTACCCTGCGGCTTCGTGTCCGAGAATGCAAGGAAAGAGACCTTCAGGGTCCTGCATAATATTCAATATGGGTAATTATACACACCATTGCTGATAGAGCAGACAATCACCTTCATCAGATTTAAGCATGCTCTAAACGGTTCTAGCAACAATTACGAATCATAAGTTAAACGAGAGTGCAGTGCAGACACCCAACGCAGAGACAGCACAGAACATACATTTCCGCCAAGCGTGTATGCATCTGTGTGGCAAATGGCCGAATGAGTAATCTTCACTCGAACTTCTCCAGCTTGAGGTGGAGCTACCTCAACAGTTTCAATGGATAGGGGCTTCTTTGGCTCCCAAGAGACAGCAGCTGAGAAGACAACCGTGCCAAAAAGTTAGGCAAGAACTATCAACAAAACCTTAAGTTAAGCATTGAGTATTCCACAGGCCAACCGTTCTTCTGGTTCTCACAACTACGACAATTTCGCTTGACTCATGATGGTTATGTCACTGCTTGACAAAAAGAATGCCATGTATTAACAGACGCATCGACTTCCCCTATTCATACTGCTGGTGGTCAGCCTTCAATGGTATTACAATGAGCATGTATCCTCTGTTCTGAAGGAAAATGTGCTTCCTGGACAGTGGTTTTGGTCGGCTACATATAAAAATTGGCTCTTCTGCGAAACTAAAAATGCTGTTCAACACTTCCGCTTTGGTTACAACGCGATTTCTGTACATCTTGTATTGATGAAACAGTCAGGAGGGTGCAGGATTATCAAACACTTCGATGACTGAAGGCGAATGTGCTGACTCTACTCGGCATGAAGATACAGTTCCTGTACACAAAGGCACAAAATACAAGTACCGGGTCGCATACCCTCCAAACCCGTATATTGTGCTTATGTGTACACCCAGGTAAAATTATTAGATAATTCAGATGCAGGGACAAGACGAATACGCATCCCCACGACCGGCTTTTTGCATGGATCGCCCGACAAAATCATGTACTAGAATCTTCTTAGTCCACGCCGGGCATTTCCATCGGCACTCGGGGAAGAAGATAGGTATCACAGACCAGTAGTTCAGATGAACTGCAGAAGAGTCTACTCGCAAGAATTCTCAGCTCAACCCAACGCATACACGGTCCGGGCTTCGGTCCTCGGCAGTCTTCGTGCCAGACTGACATACTACATTGACACAATGACTGGCCGACCATCAAACGGAACGCCATTATCGAAAGAAAGACAGTCTACTCACTCACCTCGGCAGGTAATAGTTTTGCCCTGAGTACTCGACATGTTCGCAGAATGGCAACAGCTCTCGGGAAAGAAAGAACGGGACTGAACAACTGTCGAAGGTCGAAGATGGACGTAGCCTCGGCACAAGCAACGATTATGAGACCGGTGGCTGGAGGAGTATAAAACCAAGGGGCTGGGGCTGGGGCTGGGTCCGAGCCCACAACGAAACCATGATCCAAATTTAAAGCGCCACGCAGCGAGGTGCGGACAACTCTGCAAGCCTGAACTTTCTGACGAAAGTTCCTCGTCAGCAGAGGGCTCGCAGACACACAAGCATGATCACCCACCCCCAACCTCCATCGCAGAGAAACCCTGACGGTCGCCCAATTTTAAACCTAGGCATGCTTTTTCGGTCTATCTACTCCTATTGCCATGTACTGTACTTGGCCCCCTCTTCGTTTTCGCATTTTACACAACCTTGTGTTTTCATATGTTTGATATAGATGGAGTATATTGCCTTTGTAGCACGTTGGTTCCCACCATGAAAATTCGACGAACGTTAGTCTTCTCTATCTATCTTAAACTTGACTAGAGTGAACCTTTCACAACTTTGACATCTCGGGAGTAGTGATTGCATATATGTTTAGCTTTGCGAGGTATGAGAATGAAGTGGGTGGGAGGTCATTTCAATTTCCATTTCTCTTACATCATTCGTGAGAAGGTAAGACATTCTCTCATTTCATTATTCATTGTTTTGATTGAACCATGAAATTTAGCAGTCTATCCATTGTATTCCAATGACCATAGTTCTTATATTAAAGGCACATATACAATTTTTGCTTTGGCCAAGTTGCAACCTATAGATCTTGACTAGATTACGGATCAAACGTTCCACTTATTGATAATTGTTTTACATGTGCTTTTGGCTTGGTCCATACATTTGCATATACACATGTGAATGATGTAGTAGACGTTCATTTGAACTAGCAAACAGTTATACTGATATCATTAGAGGTATGTTATGTTTGATCTTAAAAGAAAGGGTGAATATCTTAGATCGAGCAGGTCTTGATACATCTTGCATTTGATTAGGTTAGAACATAGCCATAGTCATTTAGGAGTATAATGTGTTGTTGCTGACTTTGTAGGTAGAAATTATTAGACATACTCCTGATGATGGTGAGCAGAAACTCAACAATCAATACTTCGACTTTTTGTCGGCTTTTAGCTAATATAGCATTTGAGCCATACAGAACTATAGACTAAAGCTTCAAGACTTATATAAGATATAACGTTTCCTTATCTATAGCATGCAATAGGCTTTATAATTTCATAAAGAGCTAAGGATTCTACGTTCAAATCGAAGTAGGTTAAGTTTACCTGAATGCTCTTATAATCGAATACACTTAAAACTATATTAGAACTATGTAGATAGAACGACATGTAAATTAGAAGAGCATTCAACAAGTACCACCTTCCTTAATTGTAGAATCGTAAGTTTCATATTTTGGACATGTAAAGTTCCACAGTATTGGTGATAGCCAGTAACCACGTTGAAACGCAGTCGGGAGGGCGGCAGGGTTCAGTGCTGTGTGGTTTACCAGCTCCAGGGCTCCTCCAGGACGAAAACCGAGGCGCCGGGTTTTGTCGATCGAAATTCCTTAATTCATTAGCTGGGAAAGTAATCGTCGACGACGGAGTATGGATCCTGCGTCGTGAGAACGTGAGTGGAGGGGAGGTAGGAAGTTTGCTTTCTGTCGGATGTTCGACTGTGTCCCATGGGAATTCTTCTCCGTCATCGACCTTTGGCCTGAAATTCTGAATTCCTACGGCCTCTGGATCTTAAACATCTTCGAAAAATCCATGGCTATTGCAGGGTTGGGGAAGATGCTCATCCGGCAAGGTGTGATTCGTGATTTTGGCCGGTAATTTGAATTGGTGTTTTTCTTTCGCGGTGGACATTGTTAGCCTTTCACCATCCGAAAGTATGACAGGGTCAGATCATCAGAAACATTCGGTGAAGCATGGAATCAAGCTTTCACACGTAGCCGATATTTAGCGTCAGAGAGCATTCAATCCCTACTTGAGATGGACGGTGGCATCGTTCCCTACTTCTTGCCTAAGCTCTAGGATTGAACCAGTTGACTCGATCGAGATGGTGAAATTTTTATAGTGTTTTTAGTTGGAATGTAGAGTGCATTTTCATCCCAGCATTTGTTGCCTTCCGCTCGCTGATCATCTACGTGCAATGACGTGACCCTTGTAGAGTTTTAACGAGGTTTTGTTCAGCGGCGGGAATTTGTGTCATAATCACGTCGTTTATATTGCAGGTAAGAAGCAACAGTGGTCCAGCACACGAGTTCTCCCTTCTTCTCTCCTACGGCAAGGGATATGGGCCAGAGCTACTCAGCATGTAAACTATGCGACTACCACAAAGCTGAACGATGAGGATGAGAGGGAAGCATCATTATCTCCAGTGATCTACGAGGGGAGCATGTCGGCTCCACTCAGGGGAGTGAAATTGCTCTCGGCCTCTTCGTGCGTCCTCTCAGTAATTGGGGGTCCCATTATAACATTTTTGACATCTCCTGAACTTTCTATGTTGATGAAGGGAGCTCTCTCAACAACGATGGTTGTACTTAGTGCTTCCACCACGTTCGCCCTACATTGGATTGCTAGTCCATACGTTCATAAATTGATCTGGATCCCGGGAAAAGATGAATTTGAAGTCCAGATGCTGTCCTGGATGGCAATCACTACGAGAAGGAAGATAAAGCTTTCGGATGTTCAAACTCCACTCACTGAGCGTCCTCTCGTCACGTTTGCTGCCAAAAATAATTTCTATTATGTTGATAAAGATAACTTTCCCGACGAAGGGCTTCTCAAACTCTTAGTACCTGAGAGTCCTGAGGAATTGCTAGCTGAGAAGCATGAGGAATAGATGACTCTCATTCAGTTACTTCTTAGTAGCCATGACGATCCTGCCACTGCTCGCCTTCCAAAATCTACAGGCTTCCTGTATGGTCGGCTCTCTGACGGTGGAACTGGTGTGTTTGTGTGACATTCAAACGAGACGCTTCATGAAGCGTGTATCACGTTGGCACGTGATTCAGGATCACTACTACTGAGGGCAGGAGTTGGAGGTCAAGTTTTAGTGCACCATAAGCAGCTCGATAATGTTCAGTGGAATGGGCAAAGAAAACCACACGCTGGGAGAAGCGGAGGATACACTCACAAGAGGTTTTGATTGGTGTATCTCTTAGACCGTGGCTGTTCCAGGCGTCGGCAGGACTGTCGACAAGCCACTGGGTGGTATGAGTAGGCCTGAGGTGTTTCAGTCGAAGTTTCTTCCTCTAGCAATAAACATTTCAACGATCAAGAGACCATCAGAACGTCTAAATAACGAGCAATATCAACTCCGTATTGCAAGCAGGTACTCGAATACTGAACAGCACAAGATTGTTTATTTTGTACAGAGCGTCGGCCCATTTGGTTCAGGAAGCCAGAGACTTAACTGTTTCGTGTGTGTTGAATGTCTTTGGATGGTCTAGATTGGTGTTGAATCGTTCATTTCGAGCCGCTCCGGCTGACCCAAGTGACTGAGAAGAGGCGCAATTATCGACTACAGCGAGAGGAGAATACGTGATCTCTGTTACGGAGTTATTTATTTAATGAACAGAGATTAAATTCATGTGAGGGCATGTTGGTATATTTAAGAGGCTTCTCGAAGAAGAGAGTGATCTCATCCACGCTTTCCGGGACTTTGAGATCAACCCAAACCTGGAAATGTGGTCAGCTATATGTTCCCCAGCTCCATGAAGTCTGTAGCTTGACTTTACTAATGCACATTTTGGTGGAATCTCGCATCCTTTTCTTTTCTGTCCACTGATGCTTTCCCTCAATGGATTCCAAAGTTACGGTTGTTAGGTGAGGAAGCACTCTGAAGACCTTATCACATACTTCTATAGAGAGGAAGGAGTAAATCGGAGTGCACCACGATAACATATTTGAGGATATTGGACTTTCGGTCCACGAGCGGAATCATATTCTACTAATTTCGTAGGGGTTGTATCATACCTACTGCACTGCCCCTTCCGTATTGAGGTAACTGCAGTACATCTTGGCTCTGATACTATTAATTTGGATCGTTACCTGAAGTAAACTTATGTTTTCATTGGTGGGAGTTTCGTCGTACGCGATGAATTGTCAGTGAATACTACAAGAGAATGTATTTTGTGACTACTCTTTATACGATATACAAGACTAAGCAATAGGAACGGTCACAGGGACAGCTACAATCCCGGAAACACATGGAATAACGTCTGCAATGAAAAACTCGACTAGATTACAATTAAAGAAAGGCGAAAAGGAATAACCCCCAAAACATCTCTAGAGAAACGTGAAATTAAAACCCGAAGCCATCACAGATTGAGTTTCAATGTTGCACAATCTTGATTGCTAATGATTATGCTAATCAACTCCGGCCGCTGGCCAATACAAAATATGCGCGTTCGAGTTGGTATTCTATTCATCACGCTGTAAACAACGCTTCATTCTTTTCTAGCCAAACAGAAGACGAAATTGACTATTCAAGAGCCACAAACGGCAGAAGTAAGAGCTCCAATACTAAAGACTACTTTTATTTTCTTCTCCACTGGAGAAACGAATTGCTGGTTTGAATTAATGAAGTCTTACAGTTCATCACAGCCGATAATCATAGCACCAGAGACAGAAGCTGTACAATTCGCCTGGTTTCTACGACCAGCCATTCGCTGTTAAATCTCCATCCAGTACCTCGGAAATATAAACCTGAATTCTCTCCTCTCGTGACCTCGCATTTCTCCTACCCGGGATCTCGAATTGTGTTAAAACACACACTTTCTTAAGAGAGCACTCTGATCACTCCGGTTGACTGATACAGGCACAGCCTTCCAGTTTCCAACAGAAAGCCACCGCATTCTCCTACTTTTCAGGCATGATTCTAAACTGCATACCTGTAGGATCAACAGTAGGATGCAGCTGACTTCGTTACCTGTCTACCAAAATTTAGCTTCTTCTAGTCGACCGGACCTTTCTAATTCTCAGTAAATCGTGATGCGATGGAACAAAGTCTTGCTTAACTAGACCTCTGTCAAAAAATAGCACGAGCTGAGCTTGTGAAGAATAGTATGTTGGTGGACTGCTCATAACTTCCACAAGATAGAATGCCACAGAGCCCTGCGTAATTGTAAAGGTCAACTGGAAGTTGGACAATTCGTATACAAGTCCTAACTAAGATCCCCTCTTCACATGTACGTGTCGTGCAAGAGAAAAAGAACATTGGAAACAATAGCTGACCGAGCAGAGATGACCGCAAGAGCAATCCATCAGCATAGAAAAAAAGGTTCGCAGACGAGAGGGAAGTCCTCGCTGGTGATGACAGACCTTACTGCTTGCGCTTGTCTGGCACGAGCTGGTCAAGAAGCTCCTTGCTCGGGAAATTGTCTTTTTCAACAAAATAATACTCATTGTTGGCTGCAAATGTGACAAGAGGACGCTGCGTGTAGGGGGTTCTAACATCTGAAAGCTTGATCTTCTTTTTTAGCTTTGTTGCCATCCAAGAAAGAACTTCAACATCTACTTCTTTGGATCCAGGAACCCACGTCAACTTATGAACATAAGGACTTGCAAACCAATGCAGAGCAAACGTGGTGGAGGCACTCAGAACGACCATGGTAGAACAGAGAGCGCCCTTCATTATCACAGAAAGGTCAGGATTGGTGAAGAAAGTCACTATTGGACCACCAACTACTGAAAGGCAGCACGTAGTGAGGGACAGCATTTTGACCCTTCGAACTGTGTCGGACATTAAGCCCTCATAGATCACAGGTCGTGCTGTTTCTTTCCAGTCATCTCGCTCATTCAGATTTCTAGAATTTGAGTAGTTTGTAGATTCCTTGCTCGCGTTCTTTGTTCCTTGAGAAACCCATCTCTCTTGTTGAAGAAGAGCCGAGGCCAGGACCTGATTGTGTGACCACACTTGCCTGCTACCTGCACAAGGCGATTAAGCCGTGGGGTTATAACAGTAGACTATATGACGGTAATACCAGCCTTTCCCGTGTTGATCGCGAGCTGTGTGACTCATTAAGCCAAAAGATTACATACTGGTTCAGGCGTTACTACAGTCCCCGTGATCCGGTTGGCCATCGAAACATTGATAAGATGGGGCTATAACAGAACCAGAATCGCCTGAAGGAACTGGATAAGCACGCGAAGGAATCAATTGCCACATTGACTGTAATGTGAAGCATGACAGTTCATTGAAAGTGCATTGAAAGTGCATTAAAAGTGCAGAGAGATTGGTTCCATGGAAACAGCAAATCTAATAATTCACAGCAGATAACTTTTCAAGATAAATTTGGCGCAGCCAACAAAGTGTCTTCACACCGCGGTTCATCGACGCGGATCGATACTAGTGACGATAATCCCGTTTAAAAACTGGAATACACTTGCATCTAGCACAAATAGAGAAGTCTCCCGCCACTGATGCGCAGAAATTCGCTGCCCTACATCCATCTTCGGAAGGAGCAATAAACACTTTGATTCACAACAGATAAACAGAAAAACAATGACCAACCTGATCTGAGAAAAATCCTTCCAGCGCCTGACATCGCCATTCCTGAAGACGATCCGTGGGTAGGGCCTGACGAAATCTGAATCGGAATGTGCACAATAATGTTAGGGTTTTGAGTCTCGGAAGTGCAATCAAACTCTAGAGCGAAGGGTTTAAGTCGCATCAAGGTAATTCTACCAACTACTGAAAGCGAAAAAGCCCATTCTTCATTTTCTTCTATTCGGGATGCGACGGTGCAGCTCTTTTCACTTCTCCCTATTCTTCGTCTTCAACATGATTTAGAATGTGTATTTGTTTCATTAATTTACTACCTATGAAACTTTCCTTGAATACATTTCAAAATGTACGGGTTGGTCTACTGCTGTCATTCTTCCTAATTTTCAGAAACTAATGTATTATATCTAGTAACTATGTATACATTTAAGCATTGAAATCAAGTTTAATGATTTGTTTCACATTATGTACATAAATTAAAATAGATGTACTTCACATGAATTAACCTGTGTATAAGGAGATAATCATGTGCCATTTGGTATGCATAATTATGCTTTATAATTTTTCATCGGTCCACTTACCTTCTTTGCATTGTTTTTACTTCATCAACATTTTTATTTCCTATTGTAATTTACTATTTTGATTAAAGATTCATGGGCTTTTCTAATTATATCAGCTTTGAGTACGTGACATGATATAGGACATAAAGATATAATACTATATAAAATGCAATGTAGATTTAGATTTCTAGTCGATAAAACTAGAACATTTTCGACCAGTAAATCACTGTCCACAGCTGTAGTAACTTTTTTTATTCATTTTTTATTTATTTATTTTATGTAGATCAGACCATTTTGAAATGTAAGCGGTTGAGATAGATATGGGACAATATGTTTTACGTGTAATGTCATGATATATGAAGTACATTTTAGCTCCAAAAAATGTGACTCTAGCTTCAAATCTTGTTCTGATTGAGTGATTTGATGCACCACCACCTTATACAGTCATCCTTAATGAATAGAGCAATTTCCCGAATCACAAGTTTTGATTAGGCTCTTGCTCCAACGAGTATGCACTCTTATTCATCTTGACTCTATCATGCCTCAATATATTTCAAATCATGAAAGTTAAATTGTTAAGATTATGAATTTACACCTTAGTACAATCCATATTTACACTTCTTCAATATGTGTGAACAAACGTTGCATCTAAAGTAATCGTTTCCTTACATTAGATGCAAGAAATGTTCACGTGATTCGTTGAGCATTCAACTCATATATTATAAAAACTCATAATGTGATAAGTTAATGATAGGTATGTTAATTGAGCATGTATATCTCACATGTCATAGCAAACATCACCTGTTACTTTTCAAGAGGATTTGTAATTCAGAATGAAATCATTTTGATATGTTCTGCATTTGATAAATAATCATATGTACGTAGTTTACAAATGTTTTTGAGTACACTAAAATAAATAAATATCTATTAATTTCTCAACAAGTGATCCAATAATATCCCCTATGCAGAATAAATTTGCGAACGTATAAGATAACTTCTTGATGATTTCATCTTTCATAAAAAAAATCGTGATATATTTCTACTTTTTTTTTATATTTCAAGACAAATTAAAGTATGTAAGTGCTTCAACACCTAACCAACATAATATTATTTGCCTTATTGATACTTCGATACAACTAAAAAATTTGAAATTATTTGTTTATAATTTCACAAACTTTAACATTGATCTAAGAATATTTTTTGTATTTACATCAAAAAAATTCTGTTGTTTCTTTTTCTTTGTCACGTGAGAATTCAAACTGCATATACAGTCAATTCAAAATGCACACACATAGCCAACACTGAACATATGTGGTTCATCACTGCGGCGGCCTACGTTCTACTAAACACAAAGGTTTTACTTACAACAAAAAATTTAATTTGTGTTAACCTGAAATTTTTAAGCTCTTTTTATATAGTGGGAATCTAACCAAATGGACTCACTGTGATTAATTTAGTGTAAGTTAAACGAAGATTTGAGTCACTTTTTAACATTCCTATGCTACATCATGAGACATATTGCTGAATTTGAAATTTTCTCTTATATTTATAAATACTTTTTTAAAACTAAAATTTTAGTAAATAATCTAAGTTGAATTTTATATGAATTTTTATAGTCATATTTATTCAATTATAAGCAGAAATATTTTTTTATAAAATAAAAGATTGATACTTTAAGTATCAAAAGTTTGAAGCTTCTCTTTTACTAGTGGATAATTTCAGCTAGTTACTTGTAATCACAATCCTTCAAAAGATATATCAGATTGCAACAATTTTTTGAATACGTTTTTTGAAAAAATAATGAAAAAATTGATTGTTATATTAAAATTTTTATCTAATTTTTTTTAAAAAAATATGTCATTTATCACACAAACTATTTATCAAAATTCATAATAGTTTCAATTCTGATTTAAATCATTCATAATTTATCAATACATAGATAAAGTTTTATGAATAACAAGATGCTTAAAAAAATAGTTGATTATTTAATAAATTCTATTGATTAACACAGCGATTGCAAAAATAAATATGACTTGATAATTTTTAACATGTATAAAAAAATATAAGAAAATGTAATTTCTTTTGTGCATAATCATTTCATTTTTTGTAGTAATTTTTTTTTCTCATATATTATTTTAGTGAAGTTTTTTTCAAGCTAATACAATCATATTGATAAAAATTGTTTAGATATATCGTACATACATTTGCTTGTGAAGCCTCAATTTTACAATCATCCTTTTTTCTTCTTCATTTTATTTGATTATTTATTCAAATATTCCTAAACATTGCTTTCATCATTTTAGTTTTAGCACATTTTGACATGAAAACTTTAGCAAAACTATGTCATAGATTTAAACAAAATTTTTAATTTATTTTTTATTTTCAATCTCAAAATCTCATGACTAGAAGCTAATGATAAGCTAGTGATCCCAACTCACAATATTTTTTATTTCAAGATATTTTTTACAAACCTGAGGTTAATGTGTACTCTTTTGCATATAATGCTTGACAATCGAAGTCATTCTACTTATAACTATATGAAAATATTTTTAAATATGTTTAATCTTTTCATAAATACTAGATTACAAAATATGAGTCTGTTGTCAATATTGCAATCTTTTGATGATAAAATATATCCAAATCATTGATACCTAGTGTATTATTGATGATTGCAATTGTAACATAAGAAAAATAAATGTAAATATATTCAAAAGTCAGAATTTTAAAAATTATCTCCATCAATACAACTTTATATGAATTGATGACACAAAAAAATTAATTAGAATCATGAAAATTTTTGACATATTAATATCAACTAATACATCATATAATATACTCAATCATTATCTTATTTTGGATTGAATTGCTTATAGTTTTTCTTTCACCTGATACATAAAATAATAGATCTAATCATTATCAAATTATCAATTAAATTGTTTATAATTTTTGTACAACTAATAAAAAAACATATTTTCAATCATTATCTAATTTTTAACTGAATTAATCATACATATCAAAAACTAATATACAAAAAAATATGTTCAATCATTATTTTTTCTTTATGAATTGAATTACTTTTATGTTATTTTTCAACTGATACAACAAATAATGAACTCAATCATAATTTGATTGTTAATTGAAATATTTATATGTTGTTTTTAAATTATGTACTAACTAACATACTCAATCAATATCTAACTTACATATGGATTTCCAAGATGTACTTTTCAATTAAGAAGACAAAAGTTTGTAACGGTAAAACTCAAGATCACACTAAGACAATTCATCCCTCAAGGGCTACGTCCACGGAGTAATATTATTGAGAGAGGTTACTGCTTCACGTGAAAATCTTATCCTTGTTGCCGTAGATGCGGATACATATGTATGATTTAAGTATGGCCTATAGATTGGACATCTTGGGGATTGAAATATTCAGTTACCATGCTTGGCCATGGAATATTGATTTAGTTGTTAATCATTCTTGGCTTCCTTCTCACCATATTTTCTTTTGTACGATCGAGATGCATACCTGCCGACATCGATTTGTCGTGAGTTTGGCGAGGTGGTGAACCTTGATGACCAGAACATGTGGGTGAGAGTGTGTTTTCAAAATGCAGAGCTCTTTCGGAGAGTTATGCCTGCAGCGTTTGAAAATCTTGCAATTGTTCAACGTAAAAATACGTTGTAGTACGCAACCATCCGGGGAGGAGTTTATCGACCATCGATTCGTAAGTTTCATGTGGAAAATTACGTCTATCTACAACAGATTGCACCGACAACATTGGATGTGACGGCGAGACGCACTATCTTGTGAGTGCGAGAGGTGTTAATTCTAGATTTCAAGTTGGAAGGTCGTGACGGTGTTGTTTGGAATGATCATGTGCGCAATTGTGTGCCATGTCGACTGCCAAACGTGGATGAGACAATGAACTCAAGCTTAGCAATAGTACGTGCTGGCTTGAGGTGCATGCTATGTGGCTCAGCTGGTCAAGCGGCTCGTATGTTAGTGAGTGATATGTGTTCTAGGGGATGGCACATGTTGTGCTTGACTCCACCTATCAATGTTGTTCCGGCTAGACGATAGATTTGTACTCGATGTATTTCGGAGAGACATATGATTTGATCTTCACATGATATGAATTGCAGGTAGGCGACTAACAATGAGGCGACATAGCACCCGGCCTATTGGTTCGCGCACCTATGAAGGTGTATAACATGTAGTTGTTGATAGGGCTACCTTGGAGTCATAGGAACTTGACTGCCAGCTAGAGGTGCGAGTTGTGGTACATTTGAAGGTGTACGCTCTCGTGTGCTATGTGTGTGTGTGTCTATATGTATGTGAGTAGTATATCAACAATGTAGAGTGCATGGCGATATGTATTCGCACGACAGCTAATATGTATTCTTGTAAATACTAAATATAGCCGTCGGGCTAGGATTACGTTTCTTGTAGGGTATAGACTCGACAACGACTCAAAGAACTGAAGTTCTTCGAGTCGAGCTTATTAGCGTTTGGACGAGTAATGCACTCGAGCATCGACCTGAATTCTTGAGACGAGTGGGTTGGTGTAACACTAGGGTTTAGAGAGAAGCTCACTCGAAGATAGAAACGTAAACTCTGAAGATGAGAGATCCCAACAATGG